GTCGCAGTGGGTGTCCTCGAAATTTTCGTCTTATTGGCATTGAATTATTGTCCCACTGCAGCAGCAACGATGTACGCCGTTTCGAGTGTCTGTCGGTCACTTACGGAGTCGTCCAGCGACTTAATATATCGGTGAAATGCGGTTAATTGAAATTTCTTTCCAATTAATATGCCCGCTTATCCTCTCAGGTAGCGGATGCAGACGTTTTAGACAATGTCTCCAACACTTCTGATCGTGTGTCAGAGATGAGCTTCGGCTAATGATGACTCGAGGTTGGATCGGAGTCCTTCCATACAGTTGAATCAGGTTATTCTTGTCCGTCCGCGGGGTCTCTGGCCAACGAGTCGGATAAATTTTCTATGAATTTTAGACGAGATGTACAAATTTTATTCAAAAACATCTGGATTAATCAGAAAGCTTGATAATTCGTAACTCATCATACAGTTTTTAAAAAGATATTTGTACTAATCAACTAGAGACACTGTCGAAAGTATGGAAAAAATATGATTAATTAATGAATCTTTTGAAGCCACAAATGCGTTCCCTTTTCGACACGAATTCTTCAACGCTGTTGTGCGATCAGAAAGTTTCACATAATAAATATATCTTTTTCAGCCTTGTGCTTGTGTGTTTTCTAATCTATTGTCATTAGGAATTTTGATTCGAATCGAAAATACTCATAAAACTATTCATTCCGCTTCCTGTTTCTGCCCTCATTTTGTGTCATCTAGTGTTTACTCATAACGTAAAATTGATTTTTACTGTAGCATCGGGAGACAGTGCCAGCTTTCGCCCTACGCAGTGGACGTTGGACTAGTTCTGGCCCACAGTTTGATTGAACGTGGACACCTCAGCGATCTTTCGCGCGAGTGTCCGTCCCTGCATATCTTTCGAAACATTTCGGTCGTTTTAGGCTACTTCGATTTTTAAGGGAATCGTTTTATGATTATCTGAAATTTATTCTACTGAATTCATTTGAAATTTTTTAAATAGTATTATCGTGAATTTATTCTAAAACGAATTTTCGAGTCTGTTTGAAATTAATTGAAAGTTATAACATAATCCTAATATTCAAGGTTTACTACCACAAATAGCACCTTGCCGATTCCACCTCCGGAAGACGCTTTTCAACTCCTTGTGCTGGATTTATGCGGCGCATAGTTCTGAGTTACTTACTTTACAGTCAGATCGCGGCAGTATAAGACTAATGGTAGTCTTTACGCCCAGTCGCCTCAGAGGATCACTTACATTTCTGCATATCTACCGACGGATAGTGGCAGTTTTGTGGGTCTTCGAACGTGTTATTATGTTCAGCTTTGTATTCTGTGAGCTGCAGGTGTTTAAATACCATTGATTCGCGGCCTGCTTAATCCCCCCATGCGATTAGAAGCAAAGGGGCCGTGTATTGTTGCGGTACGTCTCGGCGTAATGCCATCTTGCCCTGCCGCAATATCGTTGTAAAGTATCTAACATTACAGTCATCGCTGTGTAAATCTAATATCAGTGGTTAAAAAACAATGTACATTTGTTCCTTTTGTTATTTCCTTGACTAGTTTTTGTCAAGTCATGTTAGTTTTAAGTCGGACCTAGTACTTGTATAAAGTTTCCGCCATTAACTTAAGTACGTGGTTGTTAAGTATAATATCAAAAAAATATGTACAAATACAAACATTTCTATCATTTTAAAATGATTACTTGAGTTGCTGATCGTTATGATCTTCAAAGAATGTACATGGCATATAAGTGTTATTAAATTAAACCTCTACGTTTCAGATTCATGTTCACTGGACATTATGTAGCGAAGAGCATAATGGACAGCGCTCTGATATTCTGTATTTTAATAAAATTATTTAATTATTTGCTTTAATAATAACGCCGCTTAAAGATTATGACGATCAAGTAACTTTAATAATGAATTTACTGGAATTGAATTTAGTTGCATTTCATGGTAATGCATATCTCCTTTTGCATTTTATTATTGTAGTCTATTTTGTTCTTAGTTCGTTTTTTTTAAATCTGGAATTAACCTGCTTTTACATATATATGTTGTGACGGTTTCTCGAAACGTCGACAAGTATCTTGCAACGAGATGTTCTGAGTTAGTGAAGTATCTTTCTGCGTAACTGCCGATTGAACGTAGAGTCGATTCACTACTCGACAGAGTCAGCCCCGGGATAACTATGTTGGTCTAGCACAGAAACTCAAAATGGACAGATTCTGCGTCGGATGCTCGGTAAGGTGTTAGGAGAGTTGGGGGGGGAGGCAGGTAGCTCGCTTTTCATCTTCCAATGGAACAAATGAATGAGTTGTATTTCATTGGAAGGAACTGGGAGACTGCACACTATAGCTGTCACCTAGATGTAAATGCAGGGCGCTCTGGTCTAAAGACTCGGAAACGAGATTGGCGCTTCATCTTTAGCTCTGCGATGGAAGGATGCAAAAATGGGGCCTAATCATGGAAGTGTAAACAAGGTCTGATTCTGGCATACCAGCAATTGCGAACTTACCTCTTTTTTCTGAGGCTTGTGGTGTTTTGGTATCGGCAGTCAATGTTGTATCTAATGATGCTTCGATATAGATTTCTAAACCAGAATGCCAGCACTCTGCGTATGATCATGGTCAGCCCGTATTTGTCGAACTTTTTACACGCTTCGATCGACGTGGGTGATCTACGTCAGACTGACCTGGCCGACTGCCACATCGACATCAACCGGCTCGAGTCGCTGCTGGCTGAGGGCCTTTGCACTTTCTGCAGTATTCGCAGGACGAATAACGTGGTGGCGAACTCGAAGCTTCGCTGTGAGTGCCAGACGTGGCAACGGGACCGTCTTTTGATCTTCTCCTTCGGATCGCTGACGTACACACCTCATCAGGTGGCGTTTAAGCTGATACGCTATTGGTGGATTGAACGACTTCTGTCCGCTGAGGTCATGAACTCATACCGGTTGAGGCATATTAACAATCTGTTCAGACGACGCCGAGACATGCTTGGTTCTGGATCTGACCTGGCGGAAGACGATGCGATGGCTGCCGCTGCCATTATTGCAGATCTAAACGCGGCGCCGGCTCGCATCGGCTCTGATGATCAAGAAATTGACGCGCATGCACCGGCCGATGACCTGCCGATGTATCCTTTCATCCCCATGGAAAGACTAAACGAAATCTTCGATGTGCCTGACAAAGTGATTGAAATGCACGGTCACATCATCGGTATGGCGCTCAGCAACGACGGTCGTTACCTGTTCCTGAACGTCAGACCATGGCCCCCTGGTTGCTACGTTTCTGACCCGTTGGAGCCTCCGCCAATTGCCATGCAAATAGAGCTTCGAGTGGTGGATCTGGAAACTCTTCAACTGACCGACTCTTTGTACATGGCACACAAAGGCTACACACCAAACGATCAGTGCTTTTTCATCTTCTTGGACGCCGCTGGCCCATACGCTGCCAGGTACTGGACACTTTTAATTTTATTTTTTGTAATAGTCTCTAAGTTTGCATTCTGCTCGTTCTTTGCCTGAACCACTTCCATACGCAGTTTTACCTTAATTACAGCATGGTCTTGTCATCTCGTTAAAACTATATATATAATAGCCTTTGTCATAACCTGTTGTTAGCTTCGCAAAGTCTAAAGTGAAACGATAAACGTAATCCCATATGGCCATCCCCTTTATTCCTGCACTGAATAACAAAATGAAGCGGCGTCTGAAGAACGAAGGTTTTCGAGTTTACGTAGTACAAAATTTGCGGTTGACTGGGCTGGCGGAACTACCGGAAACTTCATCAACCGAGTACAAGGTAATAGAGTATAGATCAACTTTTGTTATAAGATCTAGTGCGTTGGCTGCCACAAGATCTATATCGGGAAAACAATACGAATATTTGACATGAGGATTGCAGAACGGGTAGCCGCTGTGATGAATCGGAAAACGGACTATTCGGTCATCATTTCCCACGCGTTCTACTTACCACACTCTTTTGTGACACAAGTCATTTCCGATGAAGATGAGAGAACAAACATTGGGCTGTTATTCACGCGATCGTTACACATGTTGGCTAGTAACAGCTGAACTGTGTAGCGAATGTACGAGCTCGTTTCGTTTGAATATCAGTTAGAATATAGTCTGGCGGGTTGCTCGAAAGGATTAATAAAGCGAGCTTTATCGTTACTCGCAATTTACTTAATTCTTTTTATGATATGGTGCTGTTTCATCCAAGTAGCATTACCGTAATAACGATGTTGGTGTACGATATTGGAACGAGATGGCAACAAGCATTTTACACGGTTCTTTTCAGCTGTTGTCTGGAACTATGAATCTGGTATAGAAGGCCATTGTATGTCGTATGTATTATTTTCGTACAGTTTACTTTTGCAGAGCTATGTTTCGTACCAAACTCGACTTTCAGGGTTACAGAGTGTGCGATTATTGTTATGATTATAACTCTGTACGACTGATCAAACCTGATCCTAAAAATTAGCCTGTGAAAGTAAAATGTATGTTAGCGAAACTTCTTCAAACTAATTCTGGGCTTTTGCTGTTAAGCCGTATTTACAACTTGTTCTTCTTCTTGCCTTTGTGCGCTGTTGATCATTTCTGTATGTATTTGCATAGCGAGAGATGTTGCGCTGTGTTCAATGAATCTTGAATCTTGAGTTTCTCCTTTGTTCCTGGCAGCCGACTGCACATCGATTGGCTGCCATCAGCCACTGAGCCGATAATTTCTTTTGCGGCATATTCCTTTATACTTTGTGGAAAACATTGAAAGTTTTCTTGATAGCAGGCAGGTCTGTCATACAGCAGCCGTTGTTGTTGACCGATTAGCTTACGATAACTAAATCTGTTATGGTATGGTCTAAATTCTCGACAAGCGATTCCAGCAGGCTAAGGAATCTGCCGAAGAACTAATATTTGCGTATCGTCGCCTGAAAGTCTTTCTGTCGTATGTGGTCGAAGATTTTCTGGAAGTCATCTAAAGAATATTGCATGATCGATGAGGGCCATTTTAATTTTTCTGTGATTCATTATGCCTGACAAATCCCCAATTTGTAGATACGACCAGCATCTGTTACGCATCGACTGCGTTGGAATATCGTATATCGATTACATGTTCAGAACCTCCCCGCCAACCCTCCTCCCGTTGACATCGGTGAATAATAGATCGGTGTCATGCTGCCCCATTGTCATTGCCGTTTATTAGAATTATGCCTTAGTTATGGCTTGTTTTAAATGCGTTGATGTACATTTACATGTTATTCGTGTGTTTAGTGGATCTGAAGACAATTTTGGGTATATATGGGATCGATACTACGACTGCTTGATAGCGAAGGTGCCGCACCAAAGCGTTGTCAACTGCGTCGCGTTCAACCCAACCGACCCAGAAATGATGGTAACGGTCTCAGATGACCGTTCGATTAAGGTCTGGGAATCAAAACGAAGAATAGCCAGATCTGACGAAGCAGACGATAATTCAGACGAAATGAGCTTCGACAGGGAGTGACTTCTGAACTGCTGGTGATACAGTTTACGTTACTTTTCGATTTTCCACATGAGCCATTGCCTCTGGTTGTTTCTGTTTATTATTATTTTCTGTGCAGCGGTATGTTGTTTTTGAACGACGGGCACCATCAGTATTTGAGTGACAACGGAGGCGTTGTGGAGGAA